GAGACTCTTCAACTCAACCAGCTGGAGACTCGTCCACCCAACTCAACCCAACCCAACTAGGCAGACGTTCTTTAACTCAACCCAACCCAACCAGCTGGAGGTTCTTCAACACAACCAGCTGGACATTCTTAAACCAAACCCAACCAGATGGAGACTCTTCAACCCAACAAGCTGGATGTCCTTTAAATCAACCAGCTATAGAGTCTTCAACCCAACCCAACTAACTGGAGATTCTTCAAGTCAAGCAGTCTTGAGCCCGTCCAGTTCTTCTCAACCCAGTCAAGATTTGAGCTCTCCAGATCAACCCAACCTTCTCTGAAGATGCTCCACCCTATCAAATCACCTTGGGACTCTTCAACTCAACCAGGCTTGAGGACATTCACCTCAACCCAACCCTTGAGCTGCCTGGATCCAACAGCTCAGTGGAACCTTCCTTCTCTGAGGATATCAGAGTCAACTTAGTCCAACCCAGATGGTCCACTCAGCTCAGTAGCTCCTACCCAAGCAACCCCACCAACCTTGAGTGCTCCACACCCATCAGTTCATTTCACCCCACCCCAAAGACAACCTGGGAGCCCATGAGTCATTTTTAGCAGATAAACCACAGGGAGGTTCTAGATCAAGGGACCTGCTATGGCCTCCAGAACTCAGGTGGGTGGCAGGCTGGTCTAGGTCCTTCTCAAAAAGGTGGGTAGAAGAAAAGGAGGAGGAGCAGCTCCTCCTCCTGGTTGACCCACCAGCTGAACCCCACTTCACCTGGAGCTCTTTGAGCTTCTTCTGCAGCTGGGCTGCCACTGCTTGCTCATCCTCGATTCTGGCATTGAGTGCGTTGAGCTCAAAGTCTTTCCTGGGTGGGAGGAGAAACATGAGCCCGTCATGCTGCCAGGTTCTCCATGGAGAGCGGGATTCTGGGTCAAAGATGAGCCAGTGGGAGGGGGAGGTGGGTGGTGGAGGTGGGCGTGGCCCTACTTTTTCAGCCTCTCATCCAATTGCTGCTTGTCATTCTCCAGGTCCATTATGTTCTCCTGGGTCAGCTTCAAGTCACCTCCAGCTTCCTCTTGGCCCGTTCCAGGTCCATCCGGATCTTCTTCTCCTGCTCCAGTGAACTTTCCAGCTGCAGGTGAGGCAGAGACTCCCCATCAGCCCCCAAAATCACCCACCCCTCATCAGACCTTCACCCACTGCAGGGGGGACAGGACTCACGTCATCCACTTGCTGTTCCAGCTTGACTTTGGCCTTCGTCAAGGTGTTGACCTTGTCCTCCTCCGCCTGCAGGTCATCCAGCGCTTGCTGGTGAGCTTCTTGCAGGGCCTTCTTCTCTTTCGTCAGCTTGACAATGATCTCGTCCAGCCCGGCCATCTCCTCTGTGAGGTTCTTGACCTGCAGGAGGAGAAACATCAGGAGAAACCCAACCCAAGCAGCCTTGGATCTTCTCAACCCAACCAGCTTTGGGTCTCCTCAACCCAACCCAACCCAACCAGGCCAAGTTGACCTGAGTCCCCTCAGCTTGAGGTCAAGGCCTCTCCCTGCACTCACCTTGTTCTCAGTGGCATGTTTCTCCTTCTCCACCTTGGCCAAAGACAACTCCAAGTCATCGATGTCCTTCTTAAGCTCTGAACACTCATCCTCCAGCTTCCTCTTCTTGGCCGTCAGCTCAGCGTTCATCTCCTCCTCGTCCTCCAGCCGCTCCGTCAGCTCCTTCAACTTGGCCTCCAGCTGGATCTTGTTCTTGATCAGCTGGTCGCAGCGCTCCTCGGCATCAGCGAGGTTGTCCTGCTCCTGGAAGGGGGAAGGTAGTTTGGAGGGTGGAGGAAGGAAAAGGAGGAGGAGGGAGGGGCTGGGGCATCTCCATCACTCACGGCCTGCACTTGGAGCTGAAGGTCATTCTTTTCCTGCAGCATTGAGACCATCTTCTCCTCCAGCTCCTTCCGTCGGGCCTCCGACTTCTCCAGGGCCTCCTTCAGCCGCCCAAACTCCTCCTTCATTGTCTGTGGGAGAGATGAAGGTCCCCTGTAAGTCTCACTTCTTCCTCCATCTCCATCTGCCAACTCCATCCTCTCCATCACCTGCATCTCCTTCTCCGTCTCAGCGCTCTTCAGCAAGGGCTTGATCTTGAAGTAGATCTTCATCCAGGGCCAGTTCTTTACCCCCATGAAGGCCCTGATGTTCCACTGGATCACCAGCAGCGAGTCCCTGGGTGGGGCAGAGCAGGATGTGGATCACCAAGGACCTCCACCCAACATGGATCCACCACCACCTCCACCCAACCACCCACCGGCGCTCCAGGATCTTCTTGAACTCCTGCCGGGAGAGGAAACCACGGACTTGGGCCTGCAAACGGGTCATGATCCTGGCCAGGCGCTCATCCCGCATCTCCTCCAGCAGCCCCAGCAGCCCAGCCTTGAAGAAGACCTTCAAGGAGAGATGAAGATCAGTGCTGTGTGGCAGAGGAGTGAGTGGAGGGGTGGGTGGGGGAATGGATAGAAGGACCTTGGATGGGCAGGTAGACATGTGGATGGTAAGAGCATGAGGTAAATAAGACATCATGGATGGTGGGATTGTGGGGTCCATGTGGTCTTGTGGATGGTGGGACCACGAGGAACAGAACCCAGGTGAGCTCACCTTGGTGTGCCCAAACTTGTA